TTTTGTTCTTGCTGCCCAGAGAAAGCCATTAGGTCTAGGTCAGTCTGGGGCCTTCCCGCCCGCCCATCTCTCCAGCCCTGCTGGAAGGGAGGGTGGGCTAGGGGTCATGGGAAGGACAAGGCCCTAGGCTGGCTAAGGGATCTGACTGAACTCTTGCATCCCTTTGTATCCCTGCTGCTCAGGGTGGCAAGATGAGGCTTGGGACCCAGAATCTGGTCCCTAGGGCTCACCTTTATTCTAATCCCCCTTGCACTTGAGGCCTACTGGCCTCAAAGACTGGGTTTGCTCTGCACAGGAAGGGCCTGGGCTGGGGAAGCCAATCCTTATTACCCAAGTCCTGGGGCTCCAGCCTTCTCCCTAGAGCCACCAGGACAGCTGGTTTCCACAGGCCCTTGGCAGCCAGGCTGGGTGGGGGATAAGCTACTAGGTCCCATTGCCTGCAAACTGCAGCTGTGCTTGCGGGTTTAAGAGAAGAGGGAAATGGGAGCCACAGGAGTCCTGGGGAGCTACACCCCGAGCTTGCTGGCTGCCTTCCAGGGGCTGACCTCTCGGCCCCTCCTGCCCTGCCCCAAGGACAGTAAGTCCAGTACCCTCTTTCTGTCTCCATCCGGAACCTCAGAGCCTAGGCCTGGGCTCTTCTCTGTCTCCTCTTCTCTGGGACTCTGCCTTTGCCCCTCCTCGCTCCTCTTTCTTCTTCAATCCCAGAATCTGGTTATCTGGCCCAGTGCCCACCGGCCCACAGCCTCCTCCTCCACCTCGGCTTCCTCCAGAAACACCACCTCATCTCAGTTGGTATGGGAGGTAGGGGGGTGGGGGTCCCCAGATCCCTATCTTCTTTCATTTCCCATCTAAGAGGGTGGGAGAGGAGGCGTTAGGGAGGTGGCCCACGTTCTCCGGGCCCAGCACCGTGGGCTGCTGTGGCAGTGTGGGGGCTGAGCTGCAGGCTGTGTATCTTTTGTAGGGAACGCCACTTTCCCCAGCTGCCACACAAACCCAGGAGTTCAGCCTGCCACACTTGCCCTAGCTACAGCCTTGTACCTCCTGCGCTGGGCTGCCAGGGGTTAAGGAGCTGGTGCAGAGCTGTGGCTGTGAGAGGCAGAGGATCTGATCCTAGGATCCGGATCATAAAGCCAGCAGAGTTTAACTACAGGTCACCGTCTCCATCCAGGGGACTGAGATTCAGTCTGGACATGTCCTCAGCCAGTGCCCCCCCCCTTCTCCCTCTTCCCTCCCTTGGCTCAGCAGCCCAGCCCAGCCCTGAGGAAAGCGTTGGCAGCTGGGGCTGGGAACGAGGTGGCAGAGCCAAGAACAACAGAAGTGCCGCCTGGGTGCCGTGCAGACCCTCCTGGCCTGAGACCCTCCCACTGCAACAAGCCTTCTCCTCCCGTCTGTGGCACCCACTCAATTGGGCCATGCTGCCTCCCTTTGCCAGGCCCGGGCTAAGCCTGGAGGTGGCTGTCATCCTTGTCATCATTTCCCTTCAGGTCACTTGGGATCCTCTGCCCTCACCTTGCTAATCCTAGGTTTTCTCCCCTGCACACAAATGTTCTCAGAAAGGAGCCAATCCTGTCTCCCAGCCTGTATTTCCCTATGCTGCCACAATGCCAACTTCCTCTGGGTGAATCAGAGCCTGGCCTTACCACATTTCAGGAGGGTTGGGTCCCTGAAGCCAGAAAGACAGGCAAGAATACAGCCCTGCCTTCTGTGAGGAGAATGGGAGCTGCCGGAGGGAGGCCAGATGCTGGAGTCTGAACTCCGTCCTGAGTGGAGTCGGAGGGCTCAGGGTGGCCAGGAGACACAACAGTCCTACCCCAGTGGCTCCCAGCCCCACCGCCTACAGGAGCCCTGACTTCCTTGCTAGCCGTTTCTGCTGAGTGGCAGAGTCCCAGGTGTCCAGCCCCACCTGGGTTTAATTTCTACCTGAGTCCCAGCCAACCAAGCCTCTGCCCCAGCAGATGTAATAACACTGATGGGGCGAGGGAGGCTCTCCACAGTGCTGACGCTGGCCAGAGAACGGAGGGGGGTTGCTTTATGACTCTCCCATCAAGCCTTCCATTCCCAGGGCTGGACTGGGTGGTCCAACCCACCCCCACCCCACTCCCGCCTCAAGGCAGTGATGGACGAGGGTGGGGCTTCTCCTCTTCCAAGCCCCACACCCTTCAATTGTGAGCACGTCGGCCTGTCCACTCTCACTCATCTGGAAGCAGTCCCTGCTCATCTCCATTCCCGCCAGGGCAAAACCTGCCACAACACAGTGGACAAAGTCCTAGTGTCCTCCAGCCCCCTCAGCTGGTATGTGTGCTTCCACCCCAAGCCTGTTCTCTGTTCCCCCGGCTTTCCTCACCAACTTTGAACCCTCCCCCACACTTGAATCTCCAAATTCCTGGGGGACCCCCAAGAGGATTATGATCAAGGGCCCCTAAAAAGGGGGAAAGGGTTGCCCTAGGCAGATCTGCAGCAGATTTGGTCATAATTAAAAGGCCAGCGACACTGGGAAATTCCTTCTCCTTAGCGATCCCAGCGGGAAATTAAAGCCAGTTGTTAGTGACTAAGTGGCGGATGCTGGCTAAAGTTCCTCCCCTCGGCCTCACCCCTGCCCCTTGCCCTTCGGGTCCCCATCCATTTCTCAAAGTCTTCTCTCCCAGACCCCCAGCCCTCTCATCTCCCACCCCTCAGTGCCCCCCTGTTCCCTTCCCCAGCATCTCTCCTAAGCCCACTCCACAAGCCTGCTGCTCCCTGGGGTTGCTAGAGCTGCTAGAGGTTAAGATCTCTAGCTCCAGCTAGTCAGCACCCTGCTCCAGACCTTCTATCCTCCTCCCTCAGCCAGAGTTGGGGTACTAGGGCTAGAGCTCAGGCCAGAGCTGCCAAACCACAAACACATCTGGAAAGAATTCCCTCTCAGCCTGACTTCCCTTTGTCTTACTTCTGTCTCTTTGGAACTCCTGGCCAGTTGAAGGGTGAGGGGAACGGGACAGTGCAGGGAAGGTTGTAGGCTCAGGCCACCCTGCCCCCACCCCAGGGAGCCCCCGACTAACTTCAGCCTCCCAGTATTTTTAGTCAAGGCACCTGCAGGAGCACCCAAGGACTAGATCACATCAGTGAGCGTTTAACATCTTGAGTCTCAGGCTTCCCGTGGGGGAGGGCCTGCCAGGTCCTTTTCTCCTGCGGGAGGGGTACCCACTGAACAGGACAGCAGCGCTGGGGGTTGGCGGGGGCTGGAGCAAAGGGAAATGGACCTAATAACCTCCGTAAAAGCCATTGGGGGCAGCAAAGGGGGGAAGCAGCAAGAGTCTGGTTTCTGCCCCGTTCCCTCCTCCAAGCTCCCCTCATCCCTTTGGCTACGAGCCTGATTTCACTGTCAGAACCTAATCCCCTCCCTGTACCTACAGCGGCGCCGAGCGGGGAGGGTGGGGGAGGAGCTCAGAGCCCCAGGCCCTAAGGCTCCCCACGCCTGGCTTGCTTCCTCCACCTCGGCTCCTGTCCTTCCCCAGAGAGCCCTCGACCTGCTGCCTTCTTCCAGAAGCCCACAAATCAGCTTTCCTACACAAAGGCTGGACCTCCTAAATCCAGGCCGAAGAGTCCTGCTCCCTTGTTCAAATCCACCACCTCTGGGTGGGGCCCGTCTGGAAGTCCCTTCTCACAATGACCTCCATCCCGCCGCTACAGTCAGCCCAGCTGTCTTCTTTTCCCACACACCCATGTGCCCAGGTATCCCTCCAGCCTGGAGGCACCAACCCCCACAGTGTGAGGCCGGGGTAGATCCTCCAGCCCCTCTGCTCCGGATCCCTTCCTCCCTAGACGGTCTCTGGGTCCTGAGGCCCGGGGTTGGCGGAGAGCCCGCCTGCTCCACCACGCTGGCGGAGGGGCTGCAGTATGCCCAGGGCTGGGACTGTCTGCGGGGTTTTCCATCCTGCCTTGAAAAGAGCGACGTCCTAGGAGACTGAGGTCCGAGCGCGCCCCCACCTCCGGGGCGCTGGACAGACTAGGAGCTCTCCAGCCCGTCCTGCTACGCCCCCTGCGGTTCCCGGGCTTGGTCTCCCGCGGTTCCCCGAAACTCTGCCTGTCCCTCTCACTCGGCTGTGTAGTGGCCCCTGTACGCGGATGTAGCCCACTCCCACTAAGGCCTCGCGGGAAGCTGTGCTGCGCCCTTTCCTTTGATCTCCCACTTCAAAGCTGCTGTCGGAAGAGCCACCGCTCCTTCTGCCAGGTTTACAGCTCAGGCGACACCTGAGACCCCGCTCCGCCCCCTCCCGGGCACCCGGCCTCTGCCCGCCTCGGAGGCTGCGTGGCGCGCTGGGCTCTGCGCCCGGGTCTCCGCCCCCTCCCCGCCGTCTACTGGGACCTCTCGGGCGGGTAGAAAGCGCCCCTTAAAGAGCCCTGTTGAGGGACCAGCCTGACCTTTGCCCTCCCAGCCTCACACCCAGGCTGCAGCTTAACCCTTCGCTGTCCGCCCAGTGCGCTAAGGAGTGAACTTTCCGGCGTCCACCTCCAGCATCCCCCGGCGTTGCGGCATCCAAAGCCTGGTGGAGGTGGGGACAGGGCAAACCCTCCCAGCCTCTCCGAGTCGTTCCAGCAGGAGGCGCCTCCGCCCCACTGAGGGGTTGGGGGTTCCCCAGCCTCTTTCGGGGTTTGGAGCTGTGGCACTGGATGAAGCCCGAACTCGGCTGCACAAAGGCCTCAGCTTGAGATAGGGGTTCACCCTGTGGCAGGGTCGCCCGCTGCTTAGGAGTCAAACGGCACGGGTTGGGAGTCGCAGAGCTGACCAGCGCTTCCTTCCCTGGCTCATTGCGTGCTCGTCTGCACCAGCCTCCCCATCAGCCTCCTGGTGCGAAGGCGGGGGTCTCAGCCCCCAGAAATCCTTGCACCCACCCAGACGCCAAACATCGAGACTAGCTGTCGGGGCTGGACTGGGGTCGGGCGCTGGAGGCAGGGGCCCCAGGTGGGTGGGGGCGGGGCGGGGGCGGGGCCATTCCGTTCTGGGCAGGGGCGGAGCGCTGGGTATAACGGCTGCTGCGCGAGAGCCCGGGCCAGCTTCGGGTTGGCCCTGTCGTGGCTCCTGAGTGTCACCAGCACACGAGGAGACGACTGTCTGGACTAAAGAACTCGGGGCCCAGTGCTCAAGCAGAGGAGTCCAAGGGGAGTTTCACGCGCTCCATCACCATGCCCAACTTCTCTGGCAACTGGAAAATCATTCGGTCGGAAAACTTTGAGGATTTGCTCAAAGTTCTGGGTAAGGAGGTGTTCGAGCGCCAGGGAGGGGTAAGAGGACGCTGGAGTCTTTGGAGGTGAGGCTGAGAAAGGAAAGCGGGCCGGAGTCCGGGCGCCAGAGCCTGGGGTGCCCGCATCCTTGGAAAAGGGGCGGGTGGATGCCTGGGTCCCGGTGCGTGGGCCCGACGGCACCCTGATCTGCCTTCCCCGGCGGGTCGCCCACCAGTGCCAGCTCCAGCGGTGACTCAGAGCCTATGAATCGAGCAGAAACCAGAAGCACGAGGTTGGTCTCGGGAGGGGCTTAGCCGCGCGCCTGCATCCCGGGACCAGGGCCGCCGCCGTGTAGAAACTGCAGGCTGAGAGAGCAGTGAACCTTGTATTCAGGCAGGGGGGCTGAGTCCTTACCCACCCGAAGCCAGCTCCTCCGAGACATTCCAATCTCCCGCCTCGGCCTAGTGCCCCTTCCAGTAACTCAATCTCCTGAGCAGGTTCAAAACCCGGGTGTGCCTGGCTCCGCCCACGAGGTGATCCAGCACCCCAGGAGGCGAGCCCTTCTCCTTCCCCCTTCTGCACTTTCCACTCGGTTCTCTGCACTCCACCCCACCCCCATCTGTGAGACAAATATTTTCCTACTGCAAGCAGCTCCAGAGTCGTAGAATCGCTCAGGATAATTATCACTTTCTTGGATTTCAACAAATGGCTTTGTGTGAAACCCCAATCCCCATTTCCAAAAATCCGGGGCTCCACCCCCTCTCTAGGCAGAAACCGGCTGCTACAGCACAATTGGGTGTGCTAGTCAAAGGTGGGGGAAGCTGGATCCACCCAGAAGGCCCTTCCAACTTTCCCCAACCTCCTGCCTGCCCTGTGGGGTCGGCTGGGGTAGGGAGTCTGGGGAAGGGGAGAGAGCTAGGACCGATGGCTGCAGAGGCAAATCTTGGAGAAGATGGGTGTTAGCTAAGGAGCCCAGCAGGTGGGAAGAGGCCCAGGGCCCTGAGCCTAGGATAAGCGTACTCCTTCCATGTTATCTCCAGCACTTTTTTTTTTTTTTTTTTAATTTTTGAGACAGGGTCTCACCATGTAGTCCAGACTGACCTTGAACTCATTTATATAGCCCAGACTGGCCTCAAACTCACAGTGACCCTCCTGCCTCAGCCTCCTGAGTGCTGGGATTACAGGTGTGCTCTGCCACCCCTAACTCCAGTACTTTAAAAATTTTTTTTCAATCTTGAGACAAGGTCTCACTAAGTTGCCCAGTCTGGGTTTGAACTTTTCATCCTCCAGTCGCACCATCTCTGAGTGGTGAGATTACAGTCATTTGTCACCATGGCCCAGCCCTCTGTCAGTCTTTCTTGCTTTGCTCTTGCTGAAGTTAAAGACCAAAAGATAGAGGTTTTCCCTTCAGAAAACCTAAATGCCACTTCTTCCCCCATCTGCTATGGATTCTGGCTCTTCTCCCCAGGATGAGGCCAGAGCCTGGCACATGCCCAGGCCCCAGCTGGAGAATAAGACCCAAAGCCCAACCCTGCTGTCTGTTGAAGCTGTTTGTTCTCCCTGCAGGGTCTCCCAGAGCCACGTGTCCTTCTCAGGCCCTGCTAGGGAGCAGATTGGAAACAGATCCTTTAGACAAACACTGTCCCAAGTCAGCCCAGGTCAGCAGGCCAGGCCCCTTGCATGGGCGGCGGGAGTGGGGGGTGGTTGCTGGAGGGCTGCCTCCTCTGATCTTTCCCCTTCTCAGCCTGCCCCCTAGTCCCTTCTTGTCCCTGACCTGATCTTTCTCCTGGTGAGGGATGTTCATGTGTTTGGGGGACATCTGTCCAGCCTGATGGTCATTGCCCACAGAGCAGATTCTGCTTTTATAACAGGAAGGATGGGCTAGCCAGACATGGGGGCACATGCCTGTAATCCGAGCACTCAGGAGGCTGAGGCAGGAGGATCGTTGCAAGTTTGAGACCAGCTTGGGCTGCAAAGTGAGCTCAAGGCCAGCCTGAATTGCATAGAGAGACCCTGTCTCAAAAAGACAAAACAAAACAAAACAGGAAGGATGTGTTAAAGAGGTGGGCTTCCAGGGAGCCTCTCTGACCAGAAGATGAAGTAGGGTGCATCTTCTCTATCAAGTTGATTGGATCTGAGCATAAACAGCAGAAAATTGGGCTGTAAAGCAGGTGTGGTGCTGTAATCTCAGCACTCTGGAAGGCTGATGCAGGAGAATGGAAAGCTCAAACTCAACCTGAGCAATTTAGTGACTTAGTGAGACCTTGCCTAAGAAATTTAAGTAGAAGAGGGCTGGGAATGTAGTTTAGTGTGGAGGCCCAGAAGTCAATCCCTAGTACTGTTTTTAAAAATGTATATACATTTTTTTAAAGGTTGGAGATGTAGCTCATACCGAGGCTCTGGGTTCAAAAGTCCCCTGTACATAAAACAAAGAGGACGAGGAGGGGAAGAAGGGAGAGGAGGAGAAGAAACACCAGCTCCAGTGTTCCCAAGGGGCAGGGCTTCCTTTCTCCCGCTCCCTTCTGTTTGGAATAGGGCGGGTTGGCTTTGGTGCTGAGTGAAAGACAATTCATTCCTCTAGGAACCCAGGTCTAGAGGAGCCAGGCATTTGGCCAGAGCTGCTTGTGCCTCCCCTATCACATCCTGAAGGACTAATCCACCCATCAGGCAGACTGGGGTGGACAGGAGCTTAGACCCAGCTGTCCCCAGGAACCACCAGCCTGCTTGCCCTCCTGTCTCCCCATCTGCTTCCCCATTTCATACCTGGAGAGCAGAGGAGAAGTCTCATCTGTTTTAAATTGGCACCCAGGGGCCAAATCCTCAGAGGCTGAGGCAGAAGTCCTGCCCATGACAGACACGATGGGGATCCTAGGAAAGGGACACAGCAGGGTGGGAAGAGGAGGCCATGTCCCTTTTTGTTCCCTTTTCTCAGGGGAGGAGGGAGTTTGAAGAAGCTGATATTTCCGTTTTACATTTGAGGGATCTAAGGCTCAGAGAGGTTAAGCCATTTGCTCATCCTGCCAGAAACCCAGTCTGAAAGGGAGCTGAGCCAGAAGGAAATCACAGATCTTACTCGAGAGCCTCAGTCTCCTAGGCAGCTGGCCGTCGTTCTCTTCCCTTGCTGACAATCCCTGCTTCTTGTTCAGGGGAGGGACAGAGACTGGGGAAATGAAGACCCATCTAGCACCATGTAGGGTGGGTAGCTAGGGCAGAGGCAGGTGACCCCGCTTCCTGGGTGCCTGCACTCAAACATGGGCGAAGCTCCAGGGACTCTGGTGAGCACACCTTAATACAGGGTCTTGGGCCAGAGTGGGCAGAGCCATAGTGAGCTTAGCAGGATGCATGCTGGGGAGAGGGGTATGGAGGAGCTGCCCCTGAGGATTCTAGGAGTGAAGAGTTGGGACTCTGTGAGCCCAGTCCAGGCCTGCTGATTCAGCACAGGAGGACAGCACTCCCAGGTGGGTTAGCCCTGACAGTCTCACAGCAGGCAGGTGGGCACCCATCTCTCCCTTCTTCCTGCAGGCGTGAACATGATGTTGAGGAAGATCGCTGTGGCTGCTGCGTCCAAGCCAACAGTGGAGATCAAACAGGAAGGAGACACTTTCTACATCAAAACCTCCACCACGGTGCGCACCACAGAGATCAACTTCAAGGTCGGGGAGGAGTTTGAAGAGCAGACCGTGGATGGGAGACCCTGTAAGGTAAGTGCCAGGAAGGGACCTAGAGGTCATGAATTCACTACCAGGCTTTCCTGTATTGTCTCCATTTCCATGGAGAAGTCTCCAGGGAAGGTGCAGGCTCCAAGGGGGATCCGTCCCTTACCGTTTCACAGCGTGGCTCTGCGATGGGCCCAGCTCACTTGGCCACCTGTCCCTTGCAGAGCTTGGTGAAATGGGAGAGTGAGAACAAAATGGTCTGTGAGCAGAGGCTTCTAAAGGGAGAGGGCCCCAAGACCTCCTGGACCAGAGAACTGACCAATGATGGAGAGCTGATCTTGGTGAGTCCCACTTGCTCCGGACTAAGAGCAAACCCAGGGCCACCTTTGGAGACTCTTGGGAGACTTGACCATGCAAGAGTTTCAAGAACCACCAGGCTGGTCTCTTTACCCTTGTGATGGGGCTCCTTGGAGGCTATCCCCATCACATGGAGTGTGGCTTGGAAGTACTGACCCTTTTATGTGGAGCTACCGCTCTCCAGGTGGGTGCCCTGGCTTGGGAGGATGATGAGCCCCTACTTGATCGCCAGGTGATGGCTAGGCATCTAGGAGCAGCTCCTTCCCACCTGTTGGTCCTGATTCCACAGGTAGCTTTGGACCTTCAGTCAGCCCTCCTTCTCCAAAACCATAGAAGCCCACAGTAACAATGACTTCTGTCTTTCCAGACCATGACAGCAGATGACGTTGTGTGCACCAGGGTCTACATCCGAGAGTGAGTGAGTGGCCAGGGCCCAAGAGCTGCCCGAGCCCGCCACTGCCTTCGCTCCCCTGCTTCCTGGCTACGGGCAGCCCCCTTCCTCCCACACCCTCCTCCTAGACTAGATCTCTCCCTGCCCCCTCACTTCCAAAGCTTGCTGGGATGCCTCTTGCGGGGTCTTTGACCCTCCTCCTACCCCTATGCCAGCGAAGAGGAATGGAGTACAAGAGCCAGGTCCCCTTCCAGCAATCACTCCCCTTGCCCAAGCTAGCAGTCCCAGCCTCAGACGAGCCCCAGCTGACCCTCTTACCAGGAGGGGACTTTAGGCCTAAATGAGAAAGCCTGGCTCTCTGGCTTCCACTTTTTGTCCCTATAGATTTTGCAGTTTAGAATATTTATTTGTTAATTTTATTAAAATGTTTTAAAAATTAAAACCTGTTTCTGGCTCATTGGCAGTGGTAGACAAGTCACTTGAGCTTGGCCTTGCTTGAAATGTAAAGTGAAATTTCCGTCACTTTTCTGAGACAGGGTCTCGCTATGCGGTTCAGGCTGGCCTTGAGTTCACTTTGTAACTCAGGCTGGTCTCGAACTCACCATGACCCTTCTGCCTCAGCCTCCCGAGTGCTGGGATTACAGGCGTGCGCCACTACACCCGGCCTCTCCTGTCACCTTTCTAACCAATGAATCCGCCAGCGTTGCCTCCACAACCTCTCCTGCACCGTGGTTCCTTGTGTTGGCATCTCGGTCAGCAGGGCCGCTCCTTCCTCCTGAACTCTCAGCGGGGCATTGGCGTTGAGGAATAGACTCCCACCTTCTCCCATGTTCTCCATGGTGGTGACACACCCTCCCCTCCTCCAGGCGACACTTCTCATCCTCCATTTGTGAACAAATCCAGGCCTTGCCTTGGCCTCTCACACGGTTCTACACAAGCTCATCATCATCCACACCCACAAGCTGGCCTTGCTTCTGCCCAGGTCTCTCAGCAAAAGGTCTTGTCCTGGTTGTCAGCCCTCTGTCTGAGACAAACCTATCTCTGCCACTGTCCCTCGTCCCCACCCCCACAATCTCCCACACACACTTTTGCCCCCGGGGTTTTCAGATCTCTCAGGTCCCGTGGGTCCTCATCTGCCCTCCCCCAGCCTCCACACTCAGGTCTGTACTGTCTCCCCAAACTCCATGCTGGTCTCTCAAACTCTCCCATGGACCACTGGGCCAAAACAGACCTGTTCAGTGCTCACCTGGCCCTACACGGTAGCAGCTTCTAACTGGCTCCTGGTCCTGCTGTCTAACTCTATGGATGCCAGAGAGAAAGGGCAAAGGTTTGGGAATAGCTGGGGTTTGAATCTTGGTTCTGCCATTTCTGGTCACTAGATGAGTGGCCTTGGCTATATTACTTGACTTCTTAGTGCTAGTTTTTTGTGTTTTTAAAACACAGAATAATGTAATTAAATGGTTTAGATATTACGAAGTTCTAGCTAGGTCTAGATATAGGTGTGGCTGGATTCAGAGCCTCAAAGATAGTTATAAACCTCTTTGTCCTTGCAGTTCTTTCTTTTGTGCATTGGCCGTGTTCATCCAGTCACATGTTCTCCACATTATGGGAAATCAGCTTCAGATGCCACAAACTTACAAAGTTATAACTTGACATCCAAAAAGAAGAGTGATCCTCTCCTAGGGCCCATATCTTCAACATGCCAAGACTCAGCTAAGTTCTGCTGGGGTCACATGACCATCCCTTGGACTAACTGTTGGCAGGGTAATGGGCCCAAGGATGAGCCAGGCCTGGGCCCCATGGACAAGGAACAGGGAGGGGGGGCTCTGTGATGATTTCTCCAGATTCTAAGGAATAGGAAGGAATGAATTCCCCATGAGGAAGGTCTCTGAATCTCAGGTTTTTAATGTATGAAACAGCAATTGTAAATAACACCTCACATAGTTATTGTAAGAGTTAAATAAACATGTAGCTCTTAGCAATAGGAAACCCTCAAAAAAAGATGATTCAGCCAGGCATGGTGGCACAAGTCTACAATCCCACCTACTTGGAAGGTTGAGGTGGGAGGATCACAAGTTCAAGGACAGCCTGGGAAACTTAGTGACAGTGAGATGCTGTCTCAAAATAAAGGGCCAGGGATTAGCTCCGTGGCACAGTGCCTGCCTGGCAAGTGTGAAGCCCTGAGTTCAATTCCTACAAAAAAAAAAAAAAAAAATCAAACAAATAAACAAAAAACCAAGATAAGAAATGCAAAAAGGATTGGGGATTTAGCTCCATGTGAAGACCCTGGCTTTGATTCCCAGCACTCTAGAAGATACTTAAACAAATAAAACACGATTTCACCTTGGCTACCTCTTTCACTACCAAGTAAAGTTCACACTGGTGCTACAGTCCCTTCGCACCCTGCAGAGCCCGAAGTGGCCTCTCCCTCCATCAGTGACAGACTGGTCACACTTCATGGCCTCTATGTCAGGAGATGAGACTCTTCTCCCTTCAAGATAGATCAGGGTGTCCAGGGCCAGGGCCTCCTGCTTCCACCCAACAAGGGGTCACATGCTGCAGAGGGCCAGGGCCAGAGAGCTGGGTGACAGTGTCCAGAGCCTGTGGAAGCCGAGTCCCCTGTCTGAACGTGGGATGGGGAAATGGTGGGGGAGGGCTCCAAGAGTCTCCTGGGAGTTGGGCACACTGCTAAGCCCAGGGCACATGGAAATGAACAAAATAGAGAAGCTCTCTAGGCTCATGGCGTCTGCTGTGCAGGTCGGTAACAGCCTTTAGAAGAGAAAGATGGGGAAGTGAGAAATAAGAGCACCGATAAATATACAATCGCGCGGTATGGTAAGCCCATGGAGGAAAGGGGGAGAGGGAGAGCAAAGAGGAGAGCAGGTGTCGTGGAGGCTGGGGTGGGCAGAGGTGGGCAGAGGTGCCAGGAGAGAAGGTGTCTGCAGGACTTGGGGAGTAAGGAGCGGCAGGCGCCGGGACAGTGCCAGTGAAGGCCTGAGGCAAAAGAGTGCTGGAGTCCATGCCAGTAGTGCTGGGAGGCTGCAGGGGTGGTCAAGGCTGGTCCTGCAGTGAAGATCCTATCGGTACTTTCTATTTTAAAGGGGGCAACAACCTGTTAGTGCTTTTAGTGTCCCCTCCCACTACAGGAGGAGATGGAGCGGAGGAGAGGGAGCATGAGGGACAGCTGGAGGGTGGGCAGCAGGGCAGAGAGGGAGAGAAACATGGCAGACGGCACAGACTCTGGAGGGCAGAGAGGAGGGGAGAGGACGAGAGGACAGGAGGTGTGGGAACGGCCTTGGGTATTCCGGCTTTGGTCAGCGGGGAGCTGGTGGGATGTTTTTAGAAATGGAAACGTGAATCCTGGAATGAAGTTCTTAAGAAAGGAAGTGAGAAGAGGTCTCTCTTTTTCCCAGAAGGTCCCTGAGGGCAGGTGCTGGGTGATCCTGAGACGGGACTCCCTGAGAGCAAAGCCAGGGCTGGGCCTTTTCTTCCTCTGCTTCTCTGGCACTTTCTGCCTGCCAGCCTGGAAGACAAGGAGGTGATAATCATGGAATGGGAGACTGAGTCAGCAAGGAGACACCTCACCCTGCTGCCCCAACAGAAAGCCCCTATGTGCTCCTCTTCCATTACCTGAGTCTTCTAGAATCAGCAGTGTTTCTGGAGAAAACGCCAGAAGCTCCCACCCTCCACCTGTACTCCTAAAATTCTTGTGAGGCCCTTCTCTCTGAAAGAACAGACGCTTCTCTCTGAAACCCAAACTTTCCAGAGCCCAACCACAGGACAGGCTGGAAGGACAGCAGCAGGGGCCCAAGGGGGGGTAGGGCAGAGACCAGGCAGGGGCACATGTGGAGAGGCTGAGTCTCCCAGGGGGTGGGAGCACACATGTCAGCTGGGGACACCAGCGGGCAGTGGGGAGATGCCAACCTCTTAGGGAAACGGGGGAGAGACAAGCCCTCTTCTCGCTCAACCCCGAGAGACCACAGTATGGCACTGAAGGAAAGGCCCATCGATGTCCAAACCAGAAATTCCAGGCACAGCTCTGACCAGAGAGGACCAAACCCAGGTGGGGCTCGTAGCCCAGTGGGCCTCTGAAGCCCCAGCCCCAGACACTGACTCCACGAGTCACTGGAGCCTAGAGAGAGAAACTCCCAGAGATAGGGAGGCCTAAAGGGGGTAGGGGAGAAGAGACTGATCAGGGGAAGAGGGAATGATGGAGTCAGGAGAGGGTGACATGGGAGAAAGCCTGGGGGCTCCGGACCCAGAGGGCTGAGATGCTCAGGAGAGGGCAGAAGAGTCAGAGGAGAGGGACAGGACATGCCAGCCCTCTGACCCCGGGTCCTGATGACGAGCTGCCTAAGGGCTTCAGCAGACACAAGATGGATGAGACTGGGACGACAGGCCTTTTGTGGCAGGGGATGAAAGGGAGCTGCCTCTGAGGAGCTGCCTGAGTCCCTCAAGCCCTCACTGGCTCCTCTGGCCTCCCCGCGGTGACCTCAGGAGCCTGCAGAGTGTGGGGGAGGAGGAGCTGAGTCCAACCACATATTTCTCCTGGCCGGGCATCCCACCTGAGCACGGGGGTCAGGGTGGGGGGCAGCAAGGGAGGCAGCAAGGGACAGGAGCTCCTTCACATGGGGAGCAAATACACAGGTGATGCCTCACAGGCAATCAAGCGGCACGAGGCCAAGGGGGCCTCAGCAGAGAAGCAGACAGTTCCAGCAACTCACAGGGCCCCTAGCCAGGGCTTCCTGCCTCTCAGGACTGGCACTGCTCTCCTGACCTTTTGACTTCCCCTTGCCTTGTCCCCCTTGGCGCTGCCAGTCGAGAAACCTGTTCTGTTCCTGCCCTGGATAAGGATCTCTGGGCTGGGCCTTTCCCAGGCAGCAGCAGAAACCTGGCAGGCGACAGCACCCCACCCCTTGCCAAGATGCCAAGGTCTCCCCAGGCCAAGACCTGCGGGGGGCACCTCACCCTTCCTCAGCATCTCTGCCATGGCCCAGGACCAGGCTGGGTCTTCCTAACCTCCATGTCCCTGTTCTGGGCTAGCCCCACTGGTTCATTGCTCTTTCTGGAAGGCTGCGGCTAAGGAGCCCTCAGCCTGCTTTGTGCTTTCTGTGCCCCCTCATGGCACTCATATTTCCCCAGAGAAGCCTGGCATGAGGCAGGCCCCCCCCTTGGGTTTTTCCCTAAGTGTCCAGGCCAGGCACCTCTGCTGCACCCTCTCCATTTCCCATGGCCTGGCCCCTTCCCCGCTCCCCACAGCCTCTTGGATTCCTCATTGCTCTCACAGCGGGGCAGCTCCTTGCCCAGCACTGGCACTGAAGGGGGCCTGGTGAGATAGGGTTGACCCCACTTAACCCCAGCCCTGCTCTCCTCTTCGGCCATCACTCATCCCCATGACCTTCTGCCCTTGCTCCTCATCCTCGGGAGGGCAGCTCCCACTCC